CCCACTCCAGCAATGCCAGGAATCCATGGGATGGTGCCAGGAAATCCCTCCCTGCTCCTGCTGGGCCACCCCATCCCCAATCCAGCAATGCCAGGAATCCATGGGATGGTGCCAGGAAATCCCTCCCTGCTCCTGCTGGGCCACCCCATCCCCAATCCAGCAATGCCAGGAATCCATGGGATGGTGCCAGGAAATCCCTCCCTGCTCCTGCTGGGCCACCCCATTCCCGATCCAGCAATGCCAGGATCCCATGGGATGGTGCCAGGAATGCCCTTCCATCCCTGATCCAGCCCAAGATCCCATGGGATGGTGCCAGGAACCCCCTCCAATCCCTGATCCAGCCCAGAATCCCATGGGATGGTGCCAGGAATCCCCTCCCAGCCCTGATCCAGCCCAGGATCCCATGGGATGGTGCCAGGAACCCCCTCCCTGCTCCTGCTGGGCCACCCCATCCTGATCCAGCAATGCTAGGATCCCACGGAATCCTCGTGCTCCAGCCCGTGGATCCCATGCTCTCATCCCACGGATCCAGCCCGTCCTGGATCCACCCTGAGGGAGATCTGGTGGCCTTTGGAAAACCCTGCCTTTCCCAAACCAACCTGGGAATCTCCAACCCTTTGTTCTCCCAGAACAGGGAGAGGATTTGGGTGCAACCCCCTGTCCGGGCACTTTGGATCTGGGGGTTGGGAGCTCAAATCCCACTGGATTTTGGGTGTGAGAGGTTTGGGAGCTCAAATCCCACTGGATTTTGGGACTGGGTGTTTTATGAGCTCCAAACCCACTGAATTTTGGGTGTGACGGTTTTAGGAGCTCAAATCCCAGTGGATTTTGGTTTGGAACAAGATGATCTTTGAGGTCCCTTCCATCCCAAACCTCTCTGGGATCCTGGGATTCTCCCTAAAAGTGATTTTCATCCTTAAATTGTCCGTAAGGAACCAGCGGGAACGCTCTGTATCCCCCACAAGGAGTTCAGGAGGCAAACCCAGGAATTCCCACGGCTCAAACGGGAACAGGGTGAACCTGGAGGTCGGGAAGTAGTGGGGCGGGGGGGGGTTTCCAAAGAAAAATTCCAAGCTGGAGAAAATAGCTTCTACCTGAGAGGCCGGTGATGTCCATCTTTGGCAGGTGCCGGGCCTTCAGCACCACCACAGTCATCCTCTGCGCCACGGGCTGGTAGGACAGGGACACCTGCAGCTCCCCCCGGCTCAGGCACTTCTGGGAGCAGGGAAAAACAAGGAATTCGTCAGGAAAAAGCCGCCCGGGAAACCTGGAGAGCTCCGGAGGGACGTCGGAATCCCCCTTTTTCCCCCCCGGGAAAAGCAGCGGAAAATGGGAAAAGGGAGGGCGAGGAGTTCCCAGGGGGAGGG